ACAATCATTCTGTTGATATTTGACATTTAATTCCAAAGGAGTATCAGCAGAACGACCATCTTGAACAAGTTGTAATATGTGCAAATTACGACAATTGTCGAATTCAATATATAACAATTAATTGTTTAGATTAGGAATATGTATTAATTGTCGTGATTACGAAAATATTATATTTGCAGAAGATTCTTCGCAACCAATTGTTGAGATTGTCATAATTATCCTCCAGTCTCAACTTTTTTGGACAACTGAAGCCAAGGATAGCTCTAGTTTCTTGATAGTCACCACCTTAATCAATAATTTCGCAAGATTCTGAGTTGTATGTATCTACTCCAAAATTAATTGCTCATCTTCTAAGAGAAAATGAAAAAAGTAATACCTCAGCTGAATATGCGTTATCCTAGCATAAAAAGTAGCGTTCTTAGCAAGATTAATAATACTCATATTGTCACCATAAAGTTTTCCAATCTCTTGTTCCTTGTCCAGTTGTGTCATAAAGCTCTATAACCAAATCATATTCTTACTAGCATGAATGATAGCAGTTTATTCAACCTTTGTAATTGAAATTGCAACAATCTTTTGTAGCCTAGAAACCAACTCATCACTGTGTTCCCCAAGCTGAAGATATATCTTGTCATACTCCTTTTACCATCCAAATATTCTGTCAGATTTGAATATACAAATCTCTATAGTTGTGCTCTGTACTTCTAAATTAAAGTGCCCTGTTGATTGATCCCCTCAAAAACCTGAAAATCCACTTCACTAGCTCCCAATGATGTCTACCTGGATTGCTCATATACTTACTGATCACTCGGACTGTATAGCAATATCTGGTCATGCTGCACAAATCATAGCATACATCAAACTTCCAACTACTGAAGCATACGGAGTTCTCTCCATATGAGATTGCTCTGCTTCAAACTTAGGTGTAGTTCCATAGCTTGAGGTCACTACCTAATGGAGAACAAACTAGCTTTGCCTCATTTATATTGAACCTCTTTAGAGTCTTCTCAGTACACTATGTCGGAGACAACTTCAGTATACTTATGCTCATGTCACTATTGATTCTCATCCCAATGATCTTATTGGTTGGATCTAAATCCTTCATCTCGAATCACTTGATAATTGCACTTTTAAGTTCCTGATACTTTTCATATCTATCATTGTTATTAGCATATCATCCACATACAAAAGAAGCAAGATATAACAATTATCAAATTTTTTGATAAAACAATAGGGGTCTACCAGACACTTAATGTACTCATTATCTGACATGAACCTATCAAATCTCATATATCACTGTCTCAGGTACTGCTTCAAGTAATAGAGACTCTTCTTCAACCTGCAGACCAAATCTTCTTTTCCTGCAACCTCATAACCATGCAGTTGCACAATATATAATTTCACCTCCATATTTTCATGTAAAAAAGTTGTTTTTACATTCATCTGCTCCAAATATAAATATTTTTCTGTTACCAAACTCAACCCACCTTTGTCAGTTGTCATCTTCAAAATAGAAGAAAAATTTTAACGTAGTCTACTTCTTTCTGTAGGAACCCTTTCAGAACATGTCTTGTCTTATAGCACTTTCTGCTATCTGACTCCTCTTTCAGCATGTAGGCACACTTGTTGTATAGTTCCTTTTTGTCATCTGGTAATACCACCAAATCTCTAGTTCAATTTGACTACAAGGATTGCATTTCATCATCCAAGGCAAGTCAAACTTTTTTTAAATCTTCAACTTGATTAGCCTCCCCACTCTAGTTCATTAGCTTCTGTTAGCAACAAACAATACAATAGAGGATACCTCTGTGTTGGCTGGGTAAGCAGAGTAGCTCTAATGGCCCTCTTAACTTCAGTAGTAAGTGATTGAGGAATTTTCTGTGCTTTATCTGATTGAATACTTCTTTCTCCTCCATCATGATCATCATTTTTTCTATCTCAACATATTTGGATTTTTCAAAAGTAATTGCCAAGCAATCCTAGGATTTGATCATGTTTTTGTACATCTCCATTTCAATGAAAGTGACATCCCTGGCTAAATCTTTTTTCTGTAACGGTACCTATTTTGTGCATCTCTACTAACCACTGCAGAGATGTGAGTTCAATCAATTGCTCCTATAGCGTTTTTGAAAATATGGATAAAACTATGCAGTTGTTCGTATGAAAGGGTCACAACTCGCTTCTCTCAGGGAAAATTAAAAAATTCTTTTAATAGTAATGAAATCGCTTGTAACACAATATTAAAGTATCTACTCAATGTTTCTAGCGACTGTTGGAAAAATTCACAAAGTTTAATGTAACTATGAGCGTGTGTGACGCCTTGAAGAAAAATTCCTAATTGTTCTGCAACCTATATATTCTTAATATCAGTTAGTAGTCATCTCTTAATCAATAAATCTCTCAACTGTATAAAAGCCTCTGTTGGAAGCCTAAAACAATTATATGCTCTCGTTAGATGACCGACCAAGACATCCTGAATATATTGACGCTGGTGTAGGATATATCAAACATTGCCCTCGAGATATATTCATTGTCATTCGATAAGTTGTATTCATCCAAAATAACAGGCATCATCTCTGTTATACCATGAGTTAACTATAAATGTGTGTCAACCATTTCTCGGATTTCCTCCAGAAAAGTCCCCGTAAAAAATTGTGGCGGTGCTGAATTAAAATTAATGCAATTAGAAATAAGTGTAGCATTGAACATAATGTTGTGCAAATAAATGTAAATAAATGCATTACATAACCTACATTCTATCAACAAGTAGAAGAGTCATCCATCAATGTAGTTAATCAACATAGCAAACTTATGATTCACGTGTGAGCTATTAATTTTTTTGCATAGCTGGAACTGTAGTTAATTAACATAATAAATTAAATCCAATTGTACTTTGTTGCAGTTTATGAAAGACAAATTATATTACAAAATGGATTCCCATGAGCCAAGTGTTAAATTATATCCTAAGTACAATTTTGTGTATAGTTACAGCTGTAGTTAATCTGCCCATCATCCGAACAGTCATTAAAATTGTTAATCAACATAACAACTATAAATATATTCTCAAACAAACAGCCATAAATATATTCTCAAACAAACAGCCACATTGACAACATAACAACCCACAAATTCATAAATTATATTTTTCCCCAAGCAACATACCTAAAACGCAAATCATTGATCCAACAAAAACTGAATCTAACATTTCACCCAAGCAATTATAAATAAGATGAAACTGCAAATAATGAATTCAACCAATTTAGATATGTGGAGTTAATCTTTAACGAAGAGTTACATAGATCCACTCCATTTGAATGGTATAAATGTGGAGAGGCAAAGTTTAGGTGTACATAAAGAAATTTGGGTGGAAATACCTTCAAACAATCTATTAAATACCACACAAAGATAGCATTATTTGAAAAACATGAAGTCATACAATAAAAAAACAACAATAGTTGACCGAAAGATTAAATAAAAATGAAGAAAAAACAAGCACACTTAAAACAATTAAATAAGCTATCAAATCTAGGCTGGGTAGTGACACAAATGAGGATGAGCCCCAATAACATGTTCAATCCAATGGTATAACTGCGGCCCATTAGTTGTCATGATAAAAGCTTTGTCAGCTTTGTCCTTCTTTAATGCTTCATTGACCGCAATTACGGCTTTGTTGGAAATGTTTGGAAAGTTGCGAAGCTTGGCCAAATTCAATGGTGATGAATGCAGAGTGACGATAGCACTGTTGTTGAAATAATTCTATGTTTTTGTTAACTATCTGAAGCAGCAATTTCAGGTTCGATATATCTCTTCTTTTAATAGATTGTTTGTTGCAATAACTCTTGATCGTTTGCTACTGCTCAATTAATCAGATACTTCTCGCATGCTAACATCCGTGTCTAATTGAAAGTTTGACTTCGAACCTGGCACATCCAATTAAGTAACTTATTCCATTTACGGTCATAAATTTATCAACCAGTCTAGTAACTTCCACTTCTTCGGTCTCCTCTAGAGAGAAGTCGGATTTGGAACCAACGGCTCCAACAACGGTTGGAATATTTTAAGAACAAATTCTTTTGAAAATATCATACTGATGAAAAGTATCCCTCTGATAGCGTTTCAACTTTGGGGCAACCTACAATTTTTTTTTCAAAACAAATACTTAAAATCGATTAATTTCAAATATGCAACCGGTATGATATCATACCTTGATAATTTCTTCTTAATTTTCATCAGTTGTTATCGGTAGATGCATATCTTCATCCTAAACCCAACCACTGTGGTTAGATAGCTGATACACTACTCGAAAATCAGCTCATATTTTTGAAGCACGCCATAACCATTGGTTCAGTATAAGTGGTGTCTAATCATCTGTTTAATGCGTCGACAACGACAAGCCAATAATCTCTCCTCATTCTGACTTCTATCATATGTCCACATTGGAATTATTCAAGCAACAACTATGCAAGAACAATATTGTGTTCATTAGGCCATTTTGGCAATTTAGTGGTACTTTTTTACTTTCCACTATGGATGAAAATATTCTCATTTCGCGATGATTTTGAACTGGGGTCACCACGGATCAACATTCCTTTTAGAAGTTTCTTCATCACTACAGGATGTTTAATATTGAAAAAATTATGTTGATATAAAAATCATTAGTATGATTATTTTCAGTTTATAGATTTTTGAAGAAGTAATACTTTTTTTTCTCTTATTTGTGTAGTGTATCTGGGATCTTGTATGTAACTGTCATTGGACGATTTGTGATCGCTTAGAAAGTCAGTTTTCATGCTGTCATGGTCTGGTTTTTACATTTGTATTGTTACGTTTATCATTTGCAGTAGGATTGTCATTGCTCACATCTTCAGAGTTACTCATACTCAATTAGCCCTAATTTAAAAAAACATCACTAAGGTCAAGAAGGTATAAACATCTATTTTCAATGATCTTATACTTCAACTTGCAACTCAAGTACAACAAAACTAAATAAGCATTTAAGATCAAATTTAAAATAAAACTAAACTAATTTCAAAATGTGAAATACATCAAGAGAAGCAAGCATCATCATCGTATGCTATTAGAGTATTTTTCAAAAAAAAAAAATGGCATACTCATACAAAGCACCAAACTAATTTCAATAATTCCCTTGGTTTGCTTATTATGATTGGTATAATTCCCTATGCTACGATACTATTTGCTCCATGTAAGTTTAACCAAATAGCTTGCTAATGCAACTGTTCAAACAAAAAGAGCACAAACATAAAGTGATACATTTCAACATAAATCATTAATCTTTCTTTAACATGAGAATAATAATATCTTATGATATACAAATAAAAAACAAGTACGAAAAAATGAACTTGTCAAAATAAAAATTATGGACTTAAAATATGATTAGCAGACTATTAGGACATGGGAAGATGGCAAAAAATTATCTACAAAAACTAAAGTCAGAGCGTATGTATAATACCATTGCCTTCCAAAAGAAGATACGGCAGTCAGGGTCATACAGAAGAAATTAAGGCTAAACAAAATCTATGTAAATGATCCTAATTATTTTTAAACCATTATGATGACTCAAATCACACTGTCATAGTTTTAAAGAAAACACATAAAACAACATGCTACAACCCAAGATTGATAGGTATGCAGATAGTTTAAATGGTTTCGCATTATTTTTTGCCAGTAATTTTCAATAATAAGGCCTAAATGATTTCATTAATCCAACTTAGATTTTCTTTCATTACGTGTAGTTACAGAAGTTGCAGAATTTTTTAATTTGTAATTTTCTGCATGTGTATTTTAGTTCATATGTTATTTAGGGTCTGTTTGACGCAGCTGTGGATTATTTATAATCTGCTGATAAACAAATTATTCTGATAATCTGATAATCTGCAGATTATCAGAATAATCTGGCTTGCTATTTGGGGCAGTTTATTCAGACTAGTTTATTGGTAGTTAAATGACATTTCTGCCCCAGTCTGATAAAACTGTTTGGAACAGCTTATTGGTAGAAAAGAAACATATAGTGCAGAAACATACGATAATGACAGAGATATTCTAAAAGAGATCATACAGTTCTCACATCCTAACGAGTACTAGTAGAACTAAAAAAGTATAAATACAAGTACAACAACAACGAGAAATATTAAAATATTTAACTTAAGACTCTGGCTACGTCGGTCCTCAAC